GGCGAAAGAACGGAGTCTGTATCTATCAAGGAAGTTGAGTTATTACAAAAACAAAATAGGTCTTAAACTTTTGTGGAGCACTTTTACTGGTACCGATACCGGTACTGGTGCATACCTAGTATGAAGCGACTAATTTCAAAAAAATTTGGTCTTGGTCTCAGTCGGGCGGACCCAGGATGTAACCAGGACAGTCCCGCAGACCTATATCTGTGACACGGTTCAGCCAACAGTTTTATTTTCCTATGGTATTTACTTCATAAGAAATTATAGTTTTTCTGTTAGATAGTGATTATTAACGTGCTGATCTATACTTAGCTGCTAGAAGAAGGAAAGTATCTATACAATTTGTATCACATGTTCTGCCGTGGGTATGCATACCCACGGTCACATGAAATCTCGTGCCCGTGCACATGCAGATCTCTATTTCGAAGTCCAGAAGTAGCATGTACTATTCACTTTGAGAAACCTCAAAAGCGATCACCTGAAACATAGGTGATCAAGTATACTAATCTGATTTTGTTATTGAAATGTTGCAAAAGTAGTATGGACTGCCAGGCCCGTAGCCAGGATTTTGCTAAGGGGGTGTACTGTAGACGTGCATCGATATACCGTTTTTTTTGCATTTTTTTTTTGGTTGTACCCGTTCTGATTCCAATATAGCCGTCTGTGGGACAGCTACCGGTTCGGAAAACTAACAGGATGCAAAAGGATCTTCATACCGGTTTGCATTAATGAAGCGCGCGAAAAAAATGTAAATATTTAAATTTTTTACTTGTCATTTCTAATAATGTCTTTTGAAAAGAGATGAAAGCTCGAACCTCATCTCGTTAGTGGTTTCCTTTAGAAATTAAATGCGATTGTTTTCATAGCAGTTACATAGCAATGTTTACTTATGGGGTGTGCCCGGGCACTCCTCCTGGCTACGGACGTGCCCTGGCACTCCTCCTGGCTACGGACCTGTTGACTGCTATATTTTGAAAATGATCGTAGGCGTATGGAGACCGTACATGAAAAAATGTTATAATAAATTATCACAAAAGATCTCCGATGAACAAAATGTGAAAAAGAAGGTCAACTAAATACAATAATGATAAAAAATTGATTTTGTTTTCGTTCTTTTTAAAAATAGAAAGGAATGGTAATCTCACATTGTGTACAAAGCGAGCAATGGAGAGTTCAGCCTCAGTGCAAGTCTTGGGGAAAGAAAAATATTTATCTGGATTGAAAATTTTTCTTCATACCATTGATGATGTGACTATATAGCATGATTTGTCGAAAATAATAATTTTGTGTGTACGTAGTTTTGATAATATTTCTTATAATTAAAAGAAGAGAATGATTGTATAGACTTGAGTCACTAAGAGAAGCCTTACTAATGGTTAAAGAATATAATTAACGCACTTGTAGTGGTAAAAATAAATATTATCAAATGTGATTGAAATAGAATAAGTGTTTCAGAGAGAGAAATTCTGTGAACTGCAGTCAACTGATTTTGTATGGTATACTAAGTAAGGAAGAATACTGGTGATAAGTCTTCTATTACCTTTTGAAATGATGCCGACAGTTCTATATCGTGATTCTTAAGGAAACTGAATGTTTGAGAATCTTGCAACCGCTCCCTCTCTCTTGCTCTTCAATTCAGAATAGATCATTACCGTCACAATGATAAGTGTATATTTTCTAGGCTATGTATACGTCAAATCGTTCTCTAATTCATGCCATCGAACAATGTCAATCAAATAAACTTGCTTATCTCATTGAACATGGTCACGATATTCATGTTCGTAATTCATTGGGTGAAAATATATTAGTAACAACATTGAAATATAGTTCAAAACAACAGGAAACAAATAATAATAGACGACTAAAATTATTTATTTTATTACTCTCATATAACGTTAATCCTCATCTGTTTGATAAAAAAGGCAAAAATGTTTTTAATTGGGCATGTACGTTGAATTGTACACAAGAAGCATTATATCTGTTAAAATCCTATGCAGGTGAAATTGATATTTTAAGAAAAGATAAAACTGGACTATGTTCATTGCATTATACATGTGAACATGGAAATTTTGAATTAGTTAAGGAAATTGTTCAATATTTATTAAAATATCGAGTAAGATTTGATACTAAAGATGATTATGGAAATACACCAGATGTATTAGCCGAAAAATTAGGTTTCAATGAAATTGCAGATTATTTAAAAGAAAAGTCAAAATTAACCGCTCATTCATCTCTTGACTTCATCGATGAACAGTTACCTCTTACTTCATCCTTATCATCTATTTATGTATCAGCAATTGATGGACGAATCAGTTGTCGGTCGAAGCTTAGTTTGAAAACAAAAGGCACTAGTAGTGATGATAATGATGTATTTATTGACCCAAAAAGTGAAATTAATTCAGCAAATGCGTTTGAAACGGGTACTGTAAATACCCGACAACCACAGTTAATGATTGATTGGTACGAGCAACTACAGGAAAGAATTCAAAAGGCGAAAGCAAACAATGATTGGAGCAGTGTTATATCATTGCGATTGCTATTAAGTAGAATATCGAATGAAGTTGAATTAAGAAAACAAATTGGTAAGCAAAAAAAGAAGCTACGCGAGCTGAGAATTATTAAGGTTCTTCTCCTATAATATCTTTTTTCTCAACAGCGTGTAATAAATTTTGATGAAAATTTTACTGAATAAAGATCTATGATGCAAGTACGGTATGGCAAAAACTTCCACTTGAAATGTCAAGCCGTCCAAGAGATACAGATGTTTGTTGGTGGAAGACGGCTATGAAATTCGAGTTTATTTAAGGATATCCCCCTCTTTTTTCACCTTCTTGCCAAATGCAGAGCACACGTCCGAGCAAGCTCAAATTTATACCAGAGAGAAGAGCAAGAAAGGAAAAATATGCTTTCCATTTCTGGATATACGAAAAATGCTAGAAATCACTGGAAAAAACTAACTTTTTTTGCGTGATTTTCAACATTTTTCGTATATCCCGAGAAGGAAGGCATATTTTTCGAAAAAAAAATTTAAAAATGTCCTCGAATGAAAGTTGGAAAAAAGTGTCTTGATTCATTTAAAATGAACCCAAATTCCACAGCCATCACCCACCGATAACACCTGTACCTCTTGGACGGCTTGACATTTCAAGCGCAAGTTTTATCATAACGTATTTGCATCATAGATCTTCATTCAGTAAAAGTTTCATCAATATCGATTAGCAGCAAAAAAAGATGTATGAAGTACGAAAAAGCGTTTTTTTTCGAATTCAACGTATCACAATCAGTTCGTTGCTATTTCTCAAAAAGAAGTTCACTGACGCGCCGTCTATATTGAATAAATAGTTAGCTTATTTATCTTTGTCCTGTCCATAAATTTAATCATAGTTCACCTGACGGAAAAAATCAGAGATAGTTATCATAACAACAATATCATCCCGATTAACTGACAAACTGTCGACATCGGAAGTAAGATGCAGTCCAAAAACCTGTCGAAAACATGTTGCCCGTAAAACTTTTCATAACTCACCAAACAGAAAGTTTTTAGCGGGAAATGGTATATCGTCTGAAAGCTTCATTTCAGTTAATGTGTATATCAAAAAATCGCATTGTGATGGAAATCTTTTTTTTATAAAGTTGAGGGAATTCTTAAACTACGACTGGTCACCCGAGTCAACTTTCTTGTCATCGTTGTGGCACGATCACGTAACGCATTCGTGTAAGATTCAAAACGCCATTTCCGAACAATTTATTGCTATCACTATTTATTCTCAATTTCCGTCCACTAGGTCATGGTATGAGCAAGATAAGAAATAAACTCTTTGTTTACATTTTTTTCTAGGTATGTCTGCGTTAGCATTAACTAATCACAGCTCGGATGATAAGGGTGAAATAGTGTTAAAAAAGGAGTTGAATAAAACCTCGAATACACTTACATTACCTCCCATTAAAACTGCAGCGATATCATTGAATAAACCGGCATCAATCGATATGAAGATATTTCCTTTGATTTCAACGGGTAAAACATCAGAAGAAAGTATAAAACAACTATTATCTTCAATTGAAATTCAAATATCACCGTCTTATCGAAAAGCATTTATTCCCACTTACAAACGACCAAGTATTGAACCACCGCCACCTCTTTTGAAAACACGAAGACGAGAATCAAACGTTAATTTGTTAGACATCCATCATCTTCACCATCCTTCTCGTATATCATTACCAGCGTTAAGAAGTTCAAAACGAAATTCCATTGCATCAGGTCGAATATCAATTGATCACACGATGCATCAGAGAAATAGTATAGTGATTCATAGTTAATAATTATTCAAACATTTTTCAATTTGTTAAAATAATGGAAACTTATATGTATTAATAATTTAGAGTTCAAAACTGTTTCAGAAGCAGAGTTTAAAGCGACATGAGATTCTTATTTCTAGTGGTATCAATTAAAAATATTGTGGAGAGTTTCAAATTAACTATTGCCATGTGGATACTATTCTAACTGTGCTAGTACCTGAAATTATTTTAAAACATCACGATTATTTTGATTAAGGTATACGAAAAATGTGAAATCTTTTCTTTTCATAACTATAAAATTTACATAGTATTCGGATTTCGAAAGTTGCATTTTTAATTTGCTTGTGTTGTAGCGTCACGTGATCATATCTAGATAATGGGCAAGTGTCATGCTTTTGAGTATTTTAGAAAAGAATTATCTACTCATATTTTAGACTAAAGTTATTTTGATTCAAAATACAATAAACTGAGATGATTTTATTTAAATTTTTCATTAGCTATTCATTCCATTATAAATATTAAATAATTCTTAATTTTCAGAATTCCCAGGTATATAACAGTTGAATTAATCTCCTTAACATATGAAAGAATAAAAGATTTATAAAACTAATAAACTGATTATACTTTGAGCACATTTATTCTGAAAAATTGATTAAAAAGTCCACTTTATCATTCGAACTTTTTTCTTCAACAAATATCTATTTATTTTTGGATAAATGTAATAATATCAATAGAATTGAAAGTAGTATATATTAAATTAAAATTATGATTTTTCAAAGAGATATGATCAACTTCACATATGAAATTTATTATCTTTGCTTGAGCTTTTGCTTTATTAGCATGCATTGTCAATTGTCAACAATATATTTTTGATATGGTCATACTACTACAATAAGATGGATATTAAAATTAGTTAGTTTAAGAGAACATTTTTTCGATTGATGTTAATGGTATTACACATGAAACACATAATAAATTTTGAGTTTATTTAACAGATATTCCAAAATAAGTGACCGATTTTATGATCACTTTCTTTTTTGAGTGTATTGTTGTAAAAAATCATACTCAAAAAGACTTTTCATTTTCATCGATATATCTCTTTGACATATGCTGATATTGTATATTAACAAACAAAAAATTAATGAGAACAGAAAAAATACTTCACAATAAAAACCAAAAAAAACCTATGCTGAATTTTAATATGATCGAGTAGAGATGGACAAATTCGACTACTTTCTTAGTTCAAATTTATCAAAAGATTTCTCTAGTCTAGACTTCAATTTATCCATCTCTATGATGTGGTCAAGTCGAACAATCTGTCCTGTAAAAAGACAATTACAATCTTATGTTTTACTTAATTGAGCATTATGTTCTTTTCTCTGTACAGGTGCTCCATAATCCATTTTTATCGATGAAAACGATAAGAAAAAGAGTAGAGAAAAGTTAAAAATTGCGTGACATGAATTGTTTTTTTTCTATGGCAATCTGGTGTCATTCTTTAATCATTTTCAACTAATTACATAAAAAAAAGACGTATAAAAACAGAAAGAAAAGAAAACGTTTAGTTTGCGTGATTCAAATTAAATTTGTTTATCATGAAGTATAATCACAAAGAACACACACAACGTACCATAAGAAAATTAATCATAATTGAAGTAATAATAATATTTCCTCTTTATTATATTCTTTTAATAGATTCAGTTTGAATTACTTTTTATAGTCTGACTTTTATTCGATTTCCTTAATCTATTTTTATTTTTAAATAAGAAACAAATTTTATTTTTATGATTAAAATAAGTCTCTAGAGTTTTTATAAAGAAACATTTAGAGTAAGAAGAAGACCCATATTCAACTAGGAAAAAGGCCTTCTGTCATCAATTAATACTCAAATGAATGAATGAATATAGAAAACAATTGCTAATGAGAATAATGGCATTGGAATATATTCTTATTATACCTGTGTGATTTGAATATACAAACAATTAGAATAGATAAAAATATTTCAGACAAGTTTATCAAGAAAAACTTAGTTGATTATACGAGAAGAAATCATCTAAAATATATCTCGACTGGATTACGTGTAATTTTATTGTTACCACTTGATCAAAGTTTGAGTAGTATATCCGATAAACCAAGACCAAGACATACTGATATTTGATTAGGTGTATATTAAGTTTAGAAATAACGAATGACAGTCTCAGTTTTAGTGTGGATTTTATGTAGTTCTCGAAGTGAACTCTTCAAATTGTATACAATGCATATATTTTACAAAAAATAAAGATTTTCAAAATTCGATGAAAATAAAATGTTTGTCTAGAAAACAGAGACAAGACTTTTAACTTAAGAAATTTCGATTATGTTTTTCTTAAATAATTATGAATATGAACAGAAAACGAACACATTTTAATCAAATCAATTTCTTTAATTAAGATTTCTCATATAATTATTAGCTGTTTCATATTAAAATTAATGTCAAATACAATTTCCTGATTGGCAGCAAAATAAATAGGGAAAAAAAAAAGAAAGAAAAAAACTATCGAACATCACAAAGATGTGATTTCATTTTTGTTTTTTTTATATCAGATGTAGAGAGTGAACAATCTGCAAATATTTTTCCGGTTTTTAACTAATTAAATTTTCACTGGATACGATAGGACTACTGTTTAATGATGATGAAATTTTTGTCCTCTTCTTATTAATAATCATGATGAAATTTCATTTTCTTTTTTTCTTCTTCTTCTTCTTCTTGTTAACAAAATTAGAAGGCGAGCTTTCTAATTTAACACATTATCGTCAAAAATGATGATGGTGACATAGTCAATCTTAATCATTTCACTTTTTGAGAGAATACCCTTTTGACGCTTTAACTAATCAAGTTAATGATGATAATAATAGAGTGAAAATTACAATAACGCTATCTCTATCCTCCTACGATTTACACGTTTTAGAAGAGGAAAAAGAAAAAGTCATATCACCATATTGGGAGTGATTGCTTGTTTCCAAATAAAATATAGTCCCAATAGTCTATTTTCACACATGCGATAAGTAGAAGATGAAATAACATGATTTGTGAGAGAATATATATACGATGATAAACTTTTGATTCTTTTAGTTTTGTACTTAAATGATTTTAACTGAAGAAAAAAAAAAATTTCTTATATGGAAAAATAACTAGTCAATTTTCTCCTGATTTGACATACAGTTCACACAATCATAATTGATGCACAGTATCTAGTAATTTATTTTTTAAAATTACTTCTAAAAATGAAAGTGTCAGAGCAGAAGTCAATTTCCTCTTTTTATAGCAACTACATAATCTCGTTAATTTTCTCTATAATAAAATTTAAAGCGGAAACTTGTCAATGGTAAAGATTTTTTCTTATGAACTATAAACAAACGTTGGATTAATTCAACCCTTGTGTGCATGTTTAGTATAAAATTTAAAATTTTATCTATAAAAGTATCAAATGACAATAAGATCGGTAAATATTTAGTTATTAGAAGATTCTACGAAATCTTCGCATATTTTAAAACTCGAAGAATAATATTGTATGATATTAGTCATCCAAAGGAAGAACCCTTTTTCAGTTTTATCAGTACTAAATTAGAGTTTTAATCAGCTCGGAAAAAAACTAAAAATTACTTTTCACACAACACAATTTCTTTCTTCTCTTATTGCTTCTTATTGATTTAGTGTTGAATATCTTTATCACTATTCGCAGAACTGACTCAAGCAACGACATGATACTGAAGACTTAGGAGGTACACTTGATATTAATATTAATATCTCCTTACTTATAGTAACACTGTTCTTGACTATTTATAATTGTCAACATTGTCTCATCTTTGTACTGTTCTAAATTTTTCTCACAGTTTAAAAATGTTTTGTTATTTACATAAATCTTTTTCTCCTAATAAACTGACTCAGACCTTAAATATCTGATCGGAATCAGTCCGGAAAATCTTTTTCATAAAATTTAGTTTGAACTCCTTCACCAGATTCAAAGATGAATGAGTTGATCAGCATTTCATCTCTGAATCAGAACATACATTTTCATGAGGTCTAATCCAATGCTGATTATCGATTAATAGTCATTTTTCTTACTAAATAGTCGCTCAAACTTTCAAATAAATTGTTGTAGTTTAATGATTATGACATTTCAAAACAGCTGAAAATATTATTAAGTTTTCGTGTTTAAAATCGTTATTCAAAGAAGAAAAATATCGTAATTCAAAAATGCAATAGATTTTTGTAAATTGTTGTGCTCATCTCATTTCATTCATCAAAATTACACTAATTTTTTAGAAACAAAGTCTTCTGATGTCAAACATGAAACAAAGATTAGTCGGCATTGATAGTGAAATCAGGTGAGAAAAGTTTGATAAAATAAAAAAAAGAGAGTGTGTTACTCTACAGCTCCATCAGATAGTCTTATCATCATCTCTTTTCTTCTCTTTTTCCGTTCTACTCGTGATTGGTTGATGTCACTTCATTTCCTGCAATGATGAAAGAGGAAGAGAAATAGAGAAGAGAAGAATTTGAAGTAGGTAGTAGAGATGTGAGTTGACGAGATTCATTTAGCTAATTGACTTCACAGCAGCACGTCATATGAGCACAATTGAATTTAACTGTCATAAAAACCGCTAATTAAAAATAAAACATCAAAAAAAAAGAAACTTAATTGTTCTGAAAGTTATACCATACCCTTCGTGCATCACTTGAAGAACAGATGCAACGGTATCACATCATCGAAATTATGATCAAACACATATTTTATGGTGTAATTGAATGAAAACTAAAAATGAGATACAACAAATTTGATCTAGTAGTATGTTTTGAAAAAAATTCGATTCCGTAAAAGGTGAACTCGAACACGTGTTTCTGAATTAATAAACTTCTTCATAATTTTCATATAACTTTTGAACAAATTTTATCTTGAATTTGTTGATAAAAAAAAAATGTGCACGATGCTTTAATGCAATATTCTCGAGCGTATTATATACTATCACCTCATATAAACAGAGTTCTTTAAAGACTAGTTTTACGACTCACAGGGAAACACTATTCAAATTTTCAAAAAAACATTTGGTAGAATAACAAACAAAAACTATTATTAGATGCGTTTCTGGTTTGTTATTAGCAGAGAGTGTGAGTGCCTTGACTTAAGACTCCTTGAACTCAACTCATAACTTTAATTTTTACAGTTAAATGTTTTTTGTATGAAAAAAAACGCTTGAACTACTTTTTTATTTTTTTAATATATATATATATATATATATATTAGTTGCTTAGAATATTGATCGTGGTGTCATAGAAAATAAAATTGTTGCTTATTGCGACGCGTTTCGTTTTATTTGAAAATAAAACTCATCACGCAATATTTTATATCTCTTTATATCAGTGGTGGATTCAAAAATTATTCTTTGATACATGCGGTATATAATAAACGTATGAGATACGTGTAGTCGTCATAGAAACAAATTATTCTAAGAAAGTTCTACTGGGAAAAGACAGTTTTTTGGTTAAAAGATACGAGCGGCCGCTCGTGGGCTGGATTCGCCACTGTTTTATATAATAATAATAATTTTAAGCCGAATTTATATTACAAATTATTATAAAGAGATATAAAATATTGCATGATGAGTTTTATTTTCAAATAAAACGAAACGCATCGCAATAAGCAACAATTTTATTTACTATAGCACCACGATCAATATTCTAAGCAACCAATATATATATATATTAAAAAGTTATAAGTTGAGTTCATGGAGTCTTAAGTCAAGGCACTTACACTCTCTGCTAATAACAAACCAGAAACGCGTCTAATAATAGTTTTTGTTTGTTATTCTACCAGGTATGCAGCATTTCCGAAGATATTTATTCCACTTCTGTTATTTAGATATAACAGACATGCTGTTTTCAATCCAAATATATCTGATTTTGAACCAATGAAAGGGATTCTACGTAGTGATGGAAAACTGCTGTCATGCGCTGCAATGTAGCTTGTTAGATATTTCCGTCACTCAACAGACAAAGGAATAAACTGAAGACACCATCTTCTGATAAAAAAATTAACAACGCTAGAGTATTTTACTTTTGTATTCTGAAGACATATTTCGTAGACAAAAAACTTACAAAAAGAATAAAATACGAAATACAAACTATTCAAATGCTACATCACAAATATCGAAAATCTTATTCATTCTTAAGTATTCACTAAACAACGTAACAGAAGCAAACTTTTCTCTAGTCAAATCATACATGGTTTTTATATAATGATATAGACAAAAATTCACATTGGATATAATAAAATTTGATTATTTAATCAGTGTTTTATTCAACATAATAACTAAATAAGCCCACTTGATTGAAATCATTGATCAATTTTGTCTCTCTATAGATAAAGACGATGATTTCAGTATACTCTCAATAATACAATGATAAAATTGATTTAATTATTCTATTTCATATAATAAAGATAGATAGATAATTCAATAAATTGAGATGCAAACAATTAATACTAATTTTATATGTTATACTTACTAAACTTGTCCAAAATGACAGAAAAAGAAATGATTACAATAACTTCAACGTTTTTCTTTTACGCTCTACACTATAAAAACACAATTCACTAAAAAAACTTTTATCTGTCAACTACACTCAATAACGCTAATATTGTGTGAGATAGGCTTTTTCTGAACAAGCATATGAGTTTTTACTAAAAACAAACAACGCACATTTGAATGATGATCGATATTTACAGGTTTTGGAATATATATTGAAATTAGTTGAATTCATTTTAATGCCCTTTTAGATACTATGTACACATACCGTTGGGAAACACAAATTATTGAGTATTTTCTTGATAGATCGTCAATATAGTATAAAAAGAACTACGAATGAATATAATATGCAAGAAATTATCAGAAAGCATTTTCTAGAACTTGAACAATGATCTATATATGGTAACTAATGGTATATAATCTTCCACAACTATAATTTGATTCATGAGAACATTTTTTTTACAATGGTTTACCTTGAATGGCTCTATACTATTGTTCCTAACTTCTAGGTCCAATTTAGCTAAAAAAATCTTCACTATCAATATTTAATTTACTTATCAATTGATTTCCTTATTGACTCAAATTAGTGTTGATGAGCTTAGTAAAATGGTTTTTCGTTATGCCTTAAATTATAATAGATCAGTTTTGAATAGAAAAGATCTCGTAAATAGATTGAAAATAGACACACACACAAACCATTTTATTTGATTGAAGAAAAACATAGTAGAGAAGGCGGTATGTTCACTCATGCGAATAAATGAATGATGTATTTTTTCTTTCTCTATGGTTTAAATCCAATCTTAACGAGTTTGTATATTCTTTTTTTTTCTTTTCTTTTCGCTATTGGCTGTTTAATTCGATTGGTATATTTTTTTTTAATGACGAGACTGACGAATTATACGCCGGGTTTCTTTACTGACTATGAAAATGAAATGGGCGTAATGTTTTTAGAGGTTTTCTTCTCTTTTTTTTTTTTTTCTTCTTCTTCTTCTTCTTCTTCTTCTTGTCAGTATTCAATGAAGAAAAAGAAATTGGTTTGTTCGTTTCATGTTGGGCTAATTATTTTCCTCCCCTTCATTCTTGCTCTTTCAACTAAACACTTAAAAATAGAATAAAACAGAGAACAAATATTAATTTTACAATTAAGCAAAGGTGACATTGGTTAATTAAAAAAATTTTCAATTAATTATATGATTAACGAAGAAAATGGATTTATAAATATTGAAAAGTTCGTTTTGACTATTGACAAAAGATGTTACCAAAATATGATAAAATAACTGCATCATCTCATCATCATCATCATCATCTTCTACTTGATGGTGATTCACTTGATCCAAATTCAAAATCCACACATTCAATTGATGCCATATTAGGAATCAAAAACGGTGATCAAACATTATTTAATCATCATCAACAACATTATAATAATAATCATTCCAATGGGGACATGAAAAAACGAAATCATCATAATGTGTACGATGACAGTAAGTAATAATCATTACGAATTTAACCCTTTGATTACCAGCGTTCCAAATTCAGGATGGTTAGTTTTATCGACAAATAAATTTATGCAGTGCAGTACTCTCGATGTTTCAAATGTATAGGATTATAGAGCAACATTTTTGTACAAAACAGTGTATAGAAATAATTTAATAGATATAAGAATAAAAAGTAAAAAGTATTTTATTAAATCCTACTTTTTGCGTAAAATGTGAAATGAGGAACTTATTGGAATATTGGATATTGGAATTATTGGAGTTTTTTTGTAACATAATCTTTCTGAGATTTATTTTATTTTATTTAAAAAATTTAAAAAACATAGGGATTTTATAGCAGAAAATCTCTCTCTACAGGTTGATAGACAAAGGCGTTTATTTACATTAAATTTTAGATATTTATGAGAAAACATCTGAGTTTTTATTTTCATTCAAATAAATTTTTGAGGCTTTCCACATTGCGTGTATAGTGTTTTATAACAAAATGCAACAGAAATTCTTAAAACATTTAGAATAAGCATAAAATTCTGATTCTAGAGTATACCTTTGAAATCTTTTAGAGCGTTTTTCTGGTATTTTAATACTGAAAGGGTTAATAACACTTTCAAAGATTAAAACGTATTGAAATATTTCATCTATTATATTTTTTCACAGAACGAGCGACCATTCTGATTACTACGTTTATCATTCACCAACGGTCGGCATAGATCCATCGAAAGATTTTTATTAGTCTTTTAATATATTTATTGTATAAATTTATTTGTTTTTTCTTCAATTTAGATATTCCACCCCGACGTAGCAGTGAAAATGATAGTAAAGACGATTCAAAAAGTTCCGATGATGAAAGACAAAAGAAAAAACATCGACGAAATCGAACAACATTTACAACATTTCAACTTCACGAACT